CTCCTCGTTCTTCACGTGTGAATTGCCGGTTCTCCAGCCTAGACACCTTCAGCCCCCCCCCAAAAAAAAAAAAAAAAAAAAAAAAACATAATTAAAGAGGGCTTTTCACATAGTCATGAATGGAAAGTTGAGTGGAAAAATTACAAAGTGCAATCTATACATACACCACTGTGGAGTATGTCACAAAAATAAATGGGATGAAATACTGATTCACCAACCGCAATAAAATCCTTAGCATGTCTAATTTGCCTTCTGTTGTACACAATGAAAAAAATTGCCTACATTTGATTGAGCCACTTATTACATAGTACAAACAGAATGTGTTGTATTAAGAGGACCAGCAATTTACTTTAATTTGGGAAAGTTATAATGCTCAAATTTAAGAGCCACACATATTTCACTGGATTCTTCATCATATCAGTTGGTTTGACTATAAGCTCATATTGAAACTGGTTTTAGAGCTACTGCTTGTTTATTCAACATAGTCTTTAGAAAGTTAGAAGATTTGCCGAGTCATGCTGACAAATCCACCCCAGAGGTATTTTCACGTCGGAATGCCATCCAGGCTTTGTGATGCTGACAGTACTTGCACAGCCCTTCCTGCATGTCAGGTAGACAGTTCATGTTGCCAAATAAAAACTAATCTTTATAGCAGACCTTAACACACTGCCTTCATCAAAGGCATACTGCAATGTCAGTAAAGTAATTCACTAAATGCTACGTGTGTTTCAAAGAGTACAAAACATTGTTTAAGTTACAGTAAGTAGGAGATTATTTAATGAATGAAGAAAGGAAACAATTTTGAAAACAGTAGCTACCAAAAGCGAGTTGGACTTGCTGTGCATATTATCATATAAAATATGAAACTAAGAACTGTTCCAGGTAAAGCACACAATATAAGTGTACACACAGCAGAGATTCAAAACTATTTCAGGAAATGAAAGCGACTTTCACAAATAGCCTGGTACATACAATAATAATCAGCCCTGGAGATACCTTAGGAACCAATTAATGTTTGCCACTAAAACAGGCTGCATTGTGTTTGACAAGCTACACCACAGTTTATACATATAAACCTCACATGTTTTTTTTTGTGTCATTAATATCTCATTGCAAAAAATATATGAAGAAAATACTGAGAAATTAAAAAAAATGGTTACAGTACAATACAGAGAATCTCAATGAATAAAAATCAGCATTTTAGTAGAAGTATTTATAACAAAAAAACATTATTTTTTTTCTTGCGACAGTGTGCAAACATCTGTTAAAGCTTTTGTCAGGAGAGGTGAACATTTTACAGAAGAAAAAAAAAAAGATTAATATGGAAATGCTTTTAATTTGGCTAATACCCAAATTACCACATAAAAGCATAGCTGACTTTCAACAGGACAATGATAAATGAATATGAAAGCCAGAGCCTTCTGTGTAGAGTCAGATTTATCCTCCTGGTCATAAATATTGTCAAATTTATCTGCAACTAATTTTGTTTTATATAATACACTAAAACATTAGACAAAAATACATCTGTCTGGCCATCCTTATCACAAGCATCCACGTTTGCAGTGGCAAACATTTTCTGTCGAAGGGTACACCATCAGTTGGTTTTTAGTCATCTGTTAGCCTCTGAATGTACATCTATAAATGTGAGAGTATTAAAGACACAAAAATCTAATTGTAAGAGTCTCTGTTCAACTGTGTTTTCCAGCATTCTGCTCTTCTTTGGGGTGCCTAATGTACTCGTTGTACATTGAATACAGGACCCCTAAGAAAGAAAAAAAAATGAGAAGAAAAAGGCGAGTTAGAGAATGGAAACTTAAAGACAGAAACAAATCAAAAAAGTTGCAGCTCAGAGTTGTGATAAATGAAATTCAAAGTCATCACTGTTTGATAAAGCAAGAAACACAATAAGGCAAACATAGTTCTCATCTATAGATAACTAAAGAGAACAATGGAGTTTCACAATAAATCAAGCCTAATCCTTACCACAATAGGAATTGTGCAGTACAAGCTATAGTGAAATACTCAGATGGAATATTTAGAAATTATATTCAGAGATTATTAAAATTATATGTGCTAATATTCTAACAGATTAACAGACTGATCTAGGCTACATATCACTTTTCCTGTAAAAACACAGGAAAAGTGATGGGAACACTTAATGTAAAAAAAAAAAAAAAAAAAATGCAATTTCCCTCAAGTTTCATAGCATCAAACTGGCACATTACACACACCACAGCCAAATGTTATCAATTGGGTAAAATTTCAAATTTCAAGAGTAAACACGTATAGCAAGCAATCATTTCTCAATAGCCAAGGGTCCAGGCCCTATGTATGAAGCAAAGTATAGAACAAAGGACTATTTATTTTATTTTTTTATTTTTATTTTTTTAACCAGGGTAGAAATATTGTGGCAAGCATCCAAGTCTGGTAAAAGCCTTAAAATAGACATAAATTCTACTGAAGATCTGCTATCCGCAAATTTCAACTTTACATGTATGTCAAAGCTGAGGTTAGAAGAATCCTAACCTACTTTCATCCTGCCTGTCACCAGTGTAACATCTCCCAGGGAGACAAATAAGATCAAACTGGGAATGTTGATATCGTCTTTCTCACAACTATGAATGTTTTTTTTATCTCGTACAGACATGTAAATACATTCTAATGTAAATGAAATGAAAGATATTGCTAATATAAAAGCAACCTACATAGAAACAAGATAATAAATGATACATACCTACTGTCATGGCTCCAACCACAAAGCCTTGTGCAGCTACACGCATATGAATCAAGTGCACCGACATTTTTGTGTCCCCTCGATTTTTCATTTTGTACAGCTGGTGTCCAACGATGCCAACAAATCCAGCCAATCCTGCAAAACAACTAGGGATTATATACAGCTCAATTTCAAAACTGCATACTGCAACTACGAACATGAGACTTCTTAATTCGACTTGGACTTTTTCACTCTATTACCATGGAACAAAACGTACTCACCCAGTGGAACAAATGGATTCTCCTTCACTTTCCGCATTAACTTTGAATCATTTCCTTCTTCGTAAGAGGACATCTTGACTATGGTGCACACAAAACAGCAGATTTTTAAAACATTTTTACAGTAATTTTCAGAACTTTGACAGTTCAGTCAGTCCAGAAAAAAAAGCTTATTATAAAGTTGGTTTACTGAATCTTATCTCTAGATATATTTAAACACATTCTAAAGTTGCAGCCTTACTGGTTTCAATTTAGTTGGCCTCATCATGTCCTGTTAGAAGGTGACATGAAGGGCAAGGAAGATACATTTTTAATGTAGGGAACAATTTACTTATGTATAAACAGTTATAGCAGGCAATTTTTTTTTTCCTGTTTAAAAAAGAATGTTGTTTAAATCGTTTCAAACAGGCTGAAAGTCAATTCAGGGCCTAAGCAGCCAGGGAAACATGAGACAATAAAAACAAAACGCTCATTATCGGCTGTTTACCAACTAACGTCGCAGTTTTAATGTATAGAGTGGAAAAGATTTTACCTGCGTTGCTTTGGAGAAGCTTTGCAAAGAGACAGTCAGATGAGCTTCGTGAGCACGTCTCCCAACCACAGTTTTCACGGAAGTAATATTCGAAACAACTCACCCGCAAGGCTCTGATATAACTGTCTCTGACGCCGGGCTGACGTCACACTACCACGTGGTTAGTTCAATGTTAGAAAGAAAAAATTGGAGATACAACCATCGCAGTTCGAGATGATAGCAATTTTATGATGTAGCAAGTTCCGCTTATGCTAAATGTAAGTAGAAAATTAAAAATAAAAAAAACTAGTGGCGCTACCGTCTTATAAAAACGTTTAAAAGTCTTGTTAATTTAATCGTACTCTATTTTAATTTGCAATGTAATGTGTAATTTAAATTAAAACAATAGTATGCACTAATGTTTATCCGAATGTGACAAAAATCACATTTATTCGATTGCAGCAGACAGTTATAGACATAGACATACTACAGAGTGAAAATGCGCCAAGGGTACAAATAATTCCGTGATGTATTGAAAGCAACACTAGCTTGCGTGCTAGGACAACGAATGGCTCCACCCCCAGCCAGAATTTTAGTAAAGTCATCCCTGTAGGTGTGGCCTCCCTTTCAGGACATAATGTGAAATAGTGAAGTCAAATTATCTTTTTTTTTTTTTTTTTTTTTTTTCTCATGACCTAAATTAGCTGACATTGTAAAAATATAATGTGACGTGTTATTTCAAAACAATCAATGGCAAATAGTTGCAAGAAATGTATATTCCACTGCAGCAACAATGATATTTTTATGAGTATGCTAAACAAACAAATTTAACCAAAATATTGTATTTTGTTCCTAGACTTCTTGTCTTATCGTCTGCATTTTAAAAGAGACTAGAGTCTTGTCCAAAATCCTAAACTTTGAATTTTGAGTTTTAAACATCTAAGTTGACTGAATACCTTTTATGCATTCGCGGGCCACTTTATACTTGGTAGTACATGGCTTAATTACCTTTTTCTTTTAGAACTGCTTTAGTTCTTTATGGCGTATTAAACAAGGTATCCTAGACTTTGGTCCTTACTGAGATGATAGCATTCCGAAAATGGAAAGAAAAAAGCAAGACTGCAAACTTACTTCGATTTGGGTGTCCATGTACAGTAAAGAAGCATAGCCACTCTGGAGGAGCTGCCAATGATCGCAGGTATAGATAAAATGATATGTTTATAGAAGAACTGTTGAAGCATTTTACTTCAAAAAGTAGGGCTAACCAGCACTCAAAATAATACATAGCTTTTAAGAAGGGAAAATATAAAATGTGTTTGGCTACATGTCATCAACCCATTGAACCGTTTACCTCAGTCATTTTTTTGCCGATAATTGTTCACATAACATAATCAAACACAGAAGTAGCATATAATAACACTCTTTCATAATTCAACAACATTTAATTTCCTTTTGGGATGAATAAAGCATTAACTTATATATTTTTTTCTTGTATAAAAAAAATACACTTAAAGCAACTAAGCAGTTTATGTTTTTTCCTAGAGGTTTATAATTATTTTATGATATGTTCTGCATTGTGTTCATCTTTGTTGAGAGAAGACATCAAAAAAACAGATCTGAACCCTAATGAGCCTGTGGCATTTCCTTTATGTAATTACAAGCTCAGATCTGAGTGATCAAGAACCAGATGTACACTGTAGAATGTAAATTAAAGCTGAGAGGTGAGAGAGAAGTTTCCAAATCTTCCTAACCTTCACAAAGAACAGTTAAATAGATATTTCCCTTTATTACAACTTTTTTTTTTTTGTAAAATGCTGTTCTGCCATTTATGCATTTATCTCACATCATTAACATTACATTCATATTTTTATCACCTGAAATTATAAATATCAAGTACAAAAAGCTGTCCTATCACACTTAGAATTTCACATGGCCTTCATAAAAGAGACAAATATCTCAGAGCATAATCTTGTTCAAAATAAAATCCAAACTGTAGTCAAACGGTTTAAAAGATTGAGGTGACAAAAAGGAGCACAGCTCCACTTAGTGGTCTATTGCTGGAAGTGCACTAAAAAGAATGTAGTGCGAGTTCAAATGAAATACAATCCTCTGAATCCTTTGTTTGTATTATCGTTAGAACCTCAAACATCCATGTATTTTATTGGGATTTTATGTAGACCAGAACAACAGTAGTGAATAAATATGAAATAAAAAGGCAATAATATAATTTTGGGCTGTACAGTGGCACAATTGGTAGCACTGTTACCTTGCAGCAAGAAGGTCCTGGGTTCAATTCTGGGCCTGGGGTCTTTCTGCATTGAGTTAGCATGTTCTCTGTTCTCTCAGGGTACTCCAGCTTCCTCTCACAGTCCAAAAACACAACTGTTTGGTAAATCAGCCTCTCTAAATTCTCCATAGGTGTGTGTGTGTGCATGGTTGTCTGTCTCTGCGTTGCCTCTTGCCTGAAATGTTTGCTGGAGATAGGCACCACTAGGGACAAAGGTGTACAGAAAATGGATGGATAGGTAATACATAGTTTTTAACATTTTCAGCTAATATAAATGTTTGAGGACAGGTTTTTAAAAATTATATATGTATAGCATATTAGTTGTGTAGATCACATCAGCAAAAATCTTAACAATGCTTTCTGACATAAACCAGTAGATGGCACTATATGTCTGTTGATCAAACACAAGGGCAGCTGGGTCCTTCTTCTTAGTGTAGACTTTGCAGGCGTCATTGGCTTTTATTAACACACCATTTTCTTATTTTTAAAAGATTAAGATAAAATGATGGCATATTTAGAATATACTGCATTTTCACCAGGTTCCTGTCCAGGCACTAACCCGAGAATGTAAATGGTCTTGATGAAAAACAATCCTACCATTTGCAACCTCTCTCTACCACATTTCACAACATTCTGCCTGTCATTTTGCATTGCTAACAGACAAACAGAACACAGAAACAGACATGACTCTGCTGCAGTCTAAAGTACGTATTGCTCTCTCATGCAATAAAGCTTGCATCATTGTTGCAATTTAGTTCATGGCCATCATGATAGCATAAAATACATTTCCCTCATGGACCCATTTTTAAGCAAGACCAGTATTACTGTTTGCACGTTCAAGTACATAAAGATTAATCTTGAACAGATGATAGGGTTTGTGAGCGGAATGAAGGTCAGTGGACTGTTTCATCAGTAGTTCAAGGTCTGAATTCTTTCAAGGTTTTCTTTTTTCTGTTGAGCTTACCTTGTAACCAGAACATATAGTGTAATTATAACAGTGTACTAATATAACAGTGATGTCACTTGATTGGCTGTTTTTAATCTATGCACTCAATACATGCTAAAAAATAAAATAAAAAAATAAAATAAAATGCAAATATTGAAGAAAAAAAAAGCCCTTTAGGTTTGGTTTGGGAATTCTAACTTTCTGACCAGAACTTTTTTGTTTTTTTACTTACATTTTTTGTTCATACTGTAACTTAATTTATTCCTTTCAAGTGTGATTAAAGCTTTTTACAGTCAATGTCCTAGAAAAAGTTTCACATTTCATCCTGTCTTTTCCAGGCTTCTGTAAATCTTTTGAGTCTTTTCTCTGCAGGGTAAAGATGTAGTAAGCAATCTTAAAAGTTCAGATGACATGACACAACTCTAATCTCAATATCTTTTGAAATTTTATGTTGGTTTTACGATTGATCTCAAATTCTGTTTCCTATCAATTTCAGTTTAACTTGCAAAGCTCCAGCTGATTGGTGGCACACTTTATCAGCCAGTTTCTCTTTAGATGTTCTTCTTATCCACATTAAGACATGAAGGTAACCTGCTGCAGAAGCATCAAACCCATTGAGAAGCATCCCTCACACTATTACTCAAGCAGTTAAAAAACAAAAAACAAAAAAACAATTGTAATCATTTGCATCACTCCATGATATTTGTGCTTTTGTAAATTTATTCCACTTTATTGCTCCTTCTTCCCCCCATTTGCATGTTCTTGTTCTGTGGGAGAATCCTGGAGAACCTGGATAAAATCCAGGCATAAAATGGGAGAACATGCAAATTCCACTCAGAAAGGCTCCACATGAGAGTTTGTTTTGAAAGATTTCTGTTAAGTGAACCACTACTTTATTACTCTGCTTGATTTGTTTTCCATCTGTTTCTCTTTAACTTTTTGCCATATGGTGTTAGTTTAATTTCTTTGAAGCTTAACACTGACATTCCACCCAAAAAGTGAACGTCTCCATTTCAGATTCGAACAACAAAGAAAGAACACTTGTTACATGTTTTTAAAGATTTGATTCACTTTCTGCATAGTATTTTAGCATTTTTAGTACTTTTTAATCCATGACTAGATCATAACTCATTCTCTGTCATTTTGATATAATACTTAAAAAAGACTTGCACTTTTTAACATCCCAGTTAATCTCTTTAACAATCTACATAGCCTTAAGATGGCAGAAGTATGTTCTTATCTAGAGTGAAATGACTCATTGACGTTGGCTGACAGATCACCAGAGAGGAAGTCGTTTTTCCAGAAGCAGCAGAAAACACGGATATCAGTCCACAAATATGCTTTGTTGCAGTTTTTCTGTTTAAGTTGCCCTGATGCAACTTAGACAACGTTTGGCTCTTTTCTTACTATTTGGAACAAAATAGGGACAAGTTACAAGCCTGAAACTATTCAAATTGTTAAGTACTGGGGTGAAAGCCCCCCTCCAACTAATAAAACCGTTTTATTTTCAAAATTATTAGAAGTGATGCTCTTTTGTGTGTTTTTAAAAAAAATATTCTTTATATAAGAAAAGTAAATCTGTTCTTTCCCAAGACATAAAGGTTTCCTCGAGAGTCATTTCATTCTTTTCACACACTCTCTATGTAAGGATAAAAGCCCCTTACTTTGTTCTGTGACACTGCTCCATTTCTGCTGAAGAATTTGATCTCATTTCCTGGAAATCTGTAACCCATTATGAATGGGAGGAGCAATGTGCTGCTTATAACTCTGAACTTGGACTTCATTTCCACACAGCTCTGTGGCTGCCAACAGAAACCGTCATGGCACTGCTTCTGCCTGTCCTCCTCAGCTGCTTGGTTGCTCTGCTTGGAGGGCTGTACCTTCTTGGAGTTTTCCGAAAGAGGCGCCCGGGAGAACC